CGGCCGAGCGGACAGCACGCTGGACTTGTGATCCTGGGTTCGATCCCAGGCGCCGGCGAGAAACAATGGGCAGAGTTTTTTTCACCCTATGCCCTTGTTACCTAGCAGTAAATAGGTACCTGGGTGTTAGTCAGCTGTCACGGGCTGCTTCCTGAGGGTGGAGGCCTGGTCGAGGACCGGGCCGCGGGGACACTAAAGCCCCGAAATTATCTCAAGATAACCGTTTGTTTGCAACCGTCGGGAAGGTCGACGGTGTAGGAACCGCACACAGTTTTACCGTCGGACTTCTCATACTGGCCGAACTTCGTTTATCTGTAGTTGGCTCCGAGTGTTCTACTCCATTTTTGCGGATCCAGGCTTGTTTAGTTACAAATTGATTAATCACACTGTTGCTTGCAGTGGCCAGCAGGCCCAAATAATACTTCAAACCTAAATGATCCGGCACTTAGTGAAGGAATTTATACAAATTCCTCCTGAAAACATCTATTAATAATAATCATGATGATCGCTGATGTATATGATATATTAGTAGCCGGGCAGCGGGCCTGAGGGTTTATGATGTGTGGATAAAGGTGGATATCCATCAAGGTGGATAATATTTGCCTATATTAAACTAAAATAATGAACATTATTTAATGGCAAACTCTTAACACGTGTAGACTTTTTTTGTTAATTAGTTTTTGTAATTTGATCATGGAGTTGTTTGTTTGTTAGTCGTCTGGGCGGGTCCAGGGATCACACCTGCTACGGTGAAGCCTAACACAACCATGATCAACTGCTAGGCCTACGGACCGTCGAACACAAGAGTGTGATGGGTCACGGAGCCTCTTGACTTTGTATATCTATATGACGGAGAACTGCTCTAATTGGGCACTCATTACTAAGAAAATCTCCCCCAGATACTCTTTGGTGTGGAAATTTTTGATTGGTTGTGCACCGCGTGTTGCAATTGTCCCATATTTGTATTTATGTTTGAAATGTTCTAATCTCTGTACCAATTCTGAATTATTCATCATCAGTAAATTTGATCCCGGATGGAGCTAACGAAGTATTGTTGTGTATGTTGGCGTTGTTTACAGTCTCGACCTACGGAGTGCATGAATTTAAAGCGTGATCTTGTATACCAACATGACCTGGTTGTCGTATTCCTGGTAACAAGTGTCCCCTTGCACGGCACCCTGCCCTCCTTGCAAAGCACCCTGCTCCCTTGCAAAGCACCCTGCCCTCCTTACAAAGCACCCTGCTCCCTTGCAAAGCACCCTGCTCCCTTGCAAAGCACCCTGCTCCCTTGCAAAGCATCCTGCCCTCCTTGCAAAGCATCCTGCCCCCCTTGCAAAGCACCCTGCTCCCTTGCAAAGCACCCTGCTCCCTTGCAAAGCACCCTGCTCCCTTGCAAAGCATCCTGCCCTCCTTGCAAAGCATCCTGCCCTCCTTGCAAAGCACCCTGCTCCCTTGCAAAGCACCCTGCCCTCCTTGCAAAGCACCCTGCTCCCTTGCAAAGCACCCTGCTCCCTTGCAAAGCACCCTGCTCCCTTGCAAAGCATCCTGCCCTCCTTGCAAAGCACCCTGCCCTCCTTGCAAAGCACCCTGCTCCCTTGCAAAGCACCCTGCTCCCTTGCAAAGCACCCTGCTCCCTTGCAAAGCACCCTGCTCCCTTGCAAAGCACCCTGCTCCCTTGCAAAGCATCCTGTCCTCCTTGCAAAGCATCCTGCCCCCCTTGCAAAGCACCCTGCTCCCTTGCAAAGCATCCTGTCCTCCTTGCAAAGCACCCTGCTCCCTTGCAAAGCACCCTGCTCCCTTGCAAAGCATCCTGCCCTCCTTGCAAAGCACCCTGCTCCCTTGCAAAGCACCCTGCTCCCTTGCAAAGCATCCTGCCCTCCTTGCAAAGCATCCTGCCCTCCTTGCAAAGCACCCTGCTCCCTTGCAAAGCACCCTGCCCTCCTTGCAAAGCACCCTGCTCCCTTGCAAAGCACCCTGCTCCCTTGCAAAGCACCCTGCTCCCCTGCAAAGCATCCTGCCCTCCTTGCAAAGCACCCTGCCCTCCTTGCAAAGCACCCTGCTCCCTTGCAAAGCACCCTGCTCCCTTGCAAAGCACCCTGCTCCCTTGCAAAGCACCCTGCTCCCTTGCAAAGCACCCTGCTCCCTTGCAAAGCATCCTGTCCTCCTTGCAAAGCATCCTGCCCCCCTTGCAAAGCACCCTGCTCCCTTGCAAAGCATCCTGCCCCCCTTGCAAAGCACCCTGCTCCCTTGCAAAGCATCCTGTCCTCCTTGCAAAGCATCCTGCCCCCCTTGCAAAGCATCCTGCCCCCCTTGCAAAGCATCCTGCCCCCCTTGCAAAGCATCCTGCCCCCCTTGCAAAGCATCCTGTCCTCCTTGCAAAGCATCCTGCCCCCCTTGCAAAGCATCCTGCCCTCCTTGCAAAGCATCCTGCCCCCCTTGCAAAGCATCCTGTCCTCCTTGCAAAGCATCCTGCCCCCCTTGCAAAGCATCCTGCCCCCCCTTGCAAAGCATCCTGCCCTCCTTGCAAAGCATCCTGCCCCCCTTGCAAAGCATCCTGCCCCCCTTGCAAAGCATCCTGTCCTCCTTGCAAAGCATCCTGCCCCCCTTGCAAAGCATCCTGCCCCCCTTGCAAAGCATCCTGCCCTCCTTGCAAAGCATCCTGCCCCCCTTGCAAAGCATCCTGTCCTCCATGCAAAGCACCCTGCTCCCTTGCAAAGCATCCTGTCCTCCTTGCAAAGCATCCTGCCCCCCTTGCAAAGCATCCTGCCCCCCTTGCAAAGCATCCTGCCCCCCTTGCAAAGCATCCTGCCCTCCTTGCAAAGCACCCTGTCCTCCTTGCAAAGCACCCTGCTCCCTTGCAAAGCATCCTGTCCTCCTTGCAAAGCATCCTGCCCCCCTTGCAAAGCATCCTGCCCTCCTTGCAAAGCATCCTGCCCCCCTTGCAAAGCATCCTGCCCTCCTTGCAAAGCATCCTGCCCCCCTTGCAAAGCATCCTGCCCTCCTTGCAAAGCATCCTGCCCCCCTTGCAAAGCATCCTGCCCTCCTTGCAAAGCACCCTGCTCCCTTGCAAAGCACCCTGCTCCCTTGCAAAGCATCCTGTCCTTGCAAAGCACCCTGCTCCCTTGCAAAGCACCCTGCTCCCTTGCAAAGCACCCTGCTCCCTTGCAAAGCACCCTGCTCCCTTGCAAAGCACCCTGCTCCCTTGCACGGCACCCTGCCCCCCCTTGCAAAGCACCCTGCTCCCTTGCAAAGAATCCTGCCCTCCTTGCAAAGCATCCTGCTCTCTTGCAAAGCACCCTGCTCCCTTGCAAAGCACCCTGCTCCCTTGCAAAGCACCCTGCTCCCTTGCAAGACACCCTGCCCCCCCCTTTCAAGACCCTCCGTTTAATAACACATCTGCTTTGCAAGGATTACTGATGCACAGTTGTACGTTACTGATGAACAGCTGCACTTTAATGCTGCACAACATTACTGTTGCACAGTTGTATTCTACTGATGTCCCCGAGGCCTCTGACCAGGCCTCCTGCTTGACGGTGTGGTCATCCAGGCTGTTGGTTACTGCTGTACGCAGTCTAACGTATGGATCTTAGCTCGGGCCTCGGTTGAGCAGAAGGCCTCCGAAGGTGTTTATCTAATTCCCTCTTAGACTCGGAGAGATTATAGGGAGTGAGTTGGAAAGCCTTTCAGTGAAACTTTTCTTTCATATAACGTTCTGTGGGTGGGGGAAGTGCCCGGCTGTGCCCAGGTCTCTTTTCGCCAGGCCCCTTCCCTCTCTCAATCTACCCTTCTCTCATATCACCCTCTCTACCTTTCTCCCTCCACATCCCCTCTCACACTCCCTTCCGTTCTTCTCCCTCACTTCCAGTCTCCCTCCTCCTTCCCTCTCTACCTGTTTTCCCTCTCTCCTCAAATATCCTCCCCCCCTCTTTCTCCTTCTCTTCGTGTCTCATTCTATCTCTGTCTCTCTCTTGCTGTCTCTGTATTGTCTTTTTTCTTCCCATTTCTCTCTCTGCCCTACTTGACCCGGTCTTTCTGCAGGCCTGTCTCTGTCGCTTTCTGCCTGTGTCTCTGTCTCATCATCCCTGTATCACTATCTCTCTTATTAAAATATATAGTAGTCTACCATTGGCATAAGGGTGGTCTAGCAGTTGGAGGAACCTAAAAGTGTGAAATATTAAACAACTATAATAGTTACCCGTTTGCCTTGATAAAGGAGCGAGGCACGAGAAAGCCTTTGAAGCTGTGGGAGTATCGTATGTTTTATGTTACTGTAGCCAAAGTATGAATACTAGAATTTTTTATAAATTTTCCCGAGATCAGTGAATACTGGTGTATAATACTATAAGGATTTTTTTCTAAATATTCAACTAGGTGTAGCTGGCAGACAGTGCCACAAATCGTCGTTGAGGGTCAGAATGCTGTTCAATCTTTAATTCTAGCGACCTCGACCAACCTATGTCTGTCATGTACCTCAGATTATTCACGATGCAAAGTTGGTGAGACTAGCCCCTAAGCTTCTGACTTCCATCCTTGGGCAGACAAACATTCTCTCTTATTTAGATTAATATTGTATTAAAATCACAATGACGAAATATCTAAATTAAAATCTTGTTGAAAATTATTTTCGTTTAATATTTGATATATTTCATTGATTTATTGATCAAAATGTTTTTCATTAATATATCAGGCCATTGTGATTTTATTGCGATCTGACTGGGGCGAAAGGTGTGAACACCATTACTGTAGGCTAGAATATGATCGGCTTGGCTCGGAAACTGAGGTTGGGCCCCGGTTTGGGACTCCAGAACTTCCCAGAGGACTTGGTTGAGTTCTGGGTTGGTACATTTTTGTAACACCATGGCCGAGCGGTCAAGGCTGGTGTCTGGAAATACCCCAGGTCGCGAGTTCAAGTCACTCCACTGCCTCAAAATGATTTTCATTGTATTTAATTATATAAAAATCTTTTGCTAACCTTATGTTAAGATCTATTACAAACACTATCGCTTTCGATGTTTATTCCTCTATCTACATTTTCCCAACAACAACAGTGTATTATTGACAATGCGTGGTGGTATTTCCGGGTCGTCAGTGGTATCCGCCTCCGTGGCCGTAGCCCTTGTTGAAGAAGGTGACGGCGGGGCCGTAGTGCTTAGGGTGCTGAGCCTTGCCGTAGTAGCTGACCTTGGCCACGTAGCCCCTGTAGTGGTCAGCTGTGTAGTCCACCTGGAGAAGAACACGGTGCTTTTAACTTTAAATTGTTGTGGCCATGGAATTTATAACGTTATTCATAAACTTTGGTTTTCACACAAGGCGATGGAGTGAAAAGTGTAAAAAGTGTGAGGGAGGTGGACGTACCCTTTGTTTGCGACCGTCGGGGAGGTCGACGGTGTAGGAGCCGTACACATTTTTACCGTCAGACTTCTCGTGCTGGCCGAAGTTGGTGCCCTTGTAGCCGTCATGCACGTTGTAGTCGTAGTAGTACGGCAGTGGCTCCTGGAGGGGGGGAGGAGGAAGAAAAAAATCACAAACTTGGCTTTTTTACCTTTCAAAGTTTTAAGATAAGCTTACAAAGAACGGTTAAAATGCATCAACCACACACAGACTTTGACTAAACAGGAATACACGTACCGAGGCGTAGACGGGTCCACCGTAGTCACCCGGGTCCGCCAAAGCCACGGCGGCCACCACCAGGACCAGACACACCTGGGGAAGATGTGTCCTTGTGAGTGAGTCAGTAGTCACCTGTTTCTGGCGTTTTGTTGGAGAAGTTGAGTTTTTTGCTTGCCAGTGAGCACATGATCAGTTTCCACAAGTCACATTAGCGTATGTACAGATATTAAGTACAAAAAAATAATTCCGATCATATGCATAGCGTTGACTGGAATTATGATGCAGGTAAGTCAACCCGTTCTCGCAAATTTAATAAGTCAATATTAACTTATTAAATATGTGCATAGGTGACATACTTACCATAATAGTTTCCCTGGAAAAGCTTCATAGAAAACACCGACCTTACTTAACCTACTTAGTATGTTAAGATAAGCATCTTATTGCTTCGTAATTACAATTATTACCTAACCTATACCTATAATAGGTTAAATAACAATTGTAATTACAAAGCTATAAGATGCTTATTTTAACATACTAAGTAGGTTAGGTAAGGTCGGTGTTTTCTATGAAGCTTTTCAAGGGAAACTATTTTGTTTAGTATGTCACCTATGCACGCAACTAATAAGTCAATATTGACTTATTAAATTTGCGAGAACGGGTTGGGTAAGTAATCCAGCTGTGCATGATTTTAGTGTTATGGAATAATTGGTCATTAAAGGAGTACAGTTGTACACATAAATGATAAATGAGCAGACCTTGTAGAACATGTCAGTGGGAGCGTGTAGGAAGGTGACACTGAAGCTGTTGGTCGAGTGAGTGACTGTTGTGGCGAGCTGCTCCACTTATATACCCGCTGTTGATACAATCAGATGACCATGACCGTCATCTTCAAGCACGGTCTGGCACTGTCACTCTCCTGCCCTCAATGGCCGTTCCCTTCAACAATTACTTTTTCATCCTACAATGTCTCCTAGGTCGTTGAGACCATTTGCCACCAAAGTCGTCCAGACCCTTTGCCACCAAGGTCGTCCAGACCCTTTGCCACCAAAGTCGTCCAGACCCTTTGCCACCAAGGTCGTCCAGACCCTTTGCCACCAAGGTCGTCCAGACCCTATGTCTGCGTGGTCGTCCTCTACTTCACAATGCTTGGTACATACAGTAAGACGTACGCCCCCCCCCCCCAAAAAAAAAGTCTAATTGTCCCCAAATAATTGGCCACCTAGATCAAGCTTTAGCAACTCGTGAGTCTAGACGGAAGCAGCTGTGCAACACTGTGTATTGCTGGTTACGTATTTGTTATACATGGGTCTTACTCCTGTGATGTAGTCTGCTACTAAATGGTACACATTTGTACATAAATTGGGGCACAGCTGTGTAACTGCAAGTGTACAACTTTACATTTGTGATATTCTACACAGTTGTGTATCACTGTGGTGTAGTGGTACACCGTGTTTACACTGTTGCAAACGTGTGGTATAATTAACTAGCAACAATAACTGAAACTGCAATGACCATGATTGATATTATTTACATGAGTAATTGGAAACTGTTAAACACACGTAATGTCGCTGACGTTGAAAGTTGCAATTCACGCTCCAAAATCACTATTTCTCTGCAATTTGGATTTTTTGTTCATGAATTTAAAAGTTCAATTGTTGCAAAGAATTTATTTGAGTTTATGGAGCCTATTGTTTTCACTCATAAAAGTTGCTATTGCTCTAGCGAGTATTTTTAATATATTTTATTTTAAGAGTTTTTGATATGGACAATGTTGACATAATTTTTGTTGTTTGAATGAATGCTTTTGTGAAATTTTAAATTCAAAACTGTTCCTTAAAATATTAAAGTGACTGAGTTAAGGAAGACGCCGCATCGTAGGATGTTGTCTACGTTTAGCTGCAAATACAGCCCAGCTTCCTGTTTAGTTAGTACTTATAGTACCGATGGCCATAGTACATAGTACCTTCCGGTACCTAATATAGTACAAATATGAAGGCGATGAGTCACAATAACGTGGCTAAAGTATGTTGACCAGACCACACACTAGAAGGTGAAGGGACGACGACGTTTCGGTCCGTCCTGGACCATTCTCAAGTCGATTGTGAAGGGACGTCGTCGTCCCTTCACCTTCTAGTGTGTGGTCTGGTCATCACTAGTACAAATATATTATATTAGGCCTAGGAATATTAAAGTTAGAATTTTAACAAATTTTTTGTCGGGCTATAAAGTGAATAGTATGAATCTCTACTATCTAATTTGCCTTTTACGTCAATGAGTGTACTATGGTGCACATAGTTACTAAAAGTACTATCTGAACAGGAGGATGGGTTGGCAAATATTAGTGATATAATCGACATATAGTACAAACATATAGTCGATACTGTATTATAGTACAGTCATACAAATATTATAATATTAACTATAATTGTACCTACATAACTGCAGCATGGGCATCTATAATAGTAACAGTACTAACGACAACGATAATAAAAATACAAATATTTCCATAAAAAATGATTAAGAATGGTAATATTTTCATCAATTTAATAATACGAAATAATAGATATGAAATAGATTGTATAACATTTGCCTGGATGCTCGTTATTAAACTGTCCCTTAGTGTACCGATGTAAATGTGTCTGTGGGTCGAGCTATAGCCTCTGGACTCTTCCTAGTGATTGATTAAGCCACCCAAGAGGTGGCACGGGCATGAATAGCCCGTAACCTCTCTTCCTAGTGAAGTGGCGTTTCTTCTTAGCTCGGGGTTCAGTATAGTAGAAAACCTCTACAACTCTAGCTTCTTTGTTCTTGATTGGGTGGGGGTTTTATGCCGAGGCTGCATATTTTAATATTAGTCTCACGAAGGTGGTATAGGGTTCTCTTGAGTGCCAGTTTGTCTGTATTTGGGGTAAATATTTATATAAGGCAACTTTAGAGTGGCATCTTTCACCTGGACACGTTGGGCGGTTGGGTGCCGCTTCTGATGATCAATTGGGCTGTGATGGTGCCGATCCTCTGGTCTATATCTCATGTAGTCTATGGACAGGTGTCATTTGTTAACATCTTTAGACGAATTTGTATAATACTGCCCAAGTGTTTTCTCCAACCTGATGCTTCCCCACCCCATATAAGTAAGAAATGAGGTGGTGGGGATTGTGTGGGTTCTCGAAGGGTGTTGACTGTCACTCAGTCAACACATACAAAAACAAAAACACATCTTTTAGAATTGCTTAAGAATTTTTATAGGCCAGTTCATGAGAGACAAGAAGTCATGTGCTCAGTTATGTTATAATATCCCCCCCCCCTCTCCCCCCCATTATGGCAATTCATCCATTTGAACACTACAGTGAAGTCGCCTCTAATTATGCGTATTCATCCATTCATCAAAACAAACAAGGGCTGACATTTAAGGCATTAGGACAGTGACTGATTAAAGCAGACTCAATCACATTTAGCTGAAAACCACTGCAACTGGCAAAGCTTTTCGATGCACTCTTATCTATGATGTAATCGCAAAAGATAACTTGAAGAAATAATGCACTAGATTGTTGTGTAGTCCTTATCGAATATATGTTGGGAAAGGCATTTATCGAGTTATTTGCCGATCTGTCCAATATATATATAGGCACAATCCTTGCATGGGATCGAATACGCACATCCTACTGCAGCAGTGAGCGAGTTCTTAATTTAAATAACTTTAACTGTATTATTCTTGAAAACTACATTGACATTAAAAATCTTGAAATCCCAGGAAAGTTTAACAAGTTCTTAAGAGTATGGTAACACGAGTGAGTTTTTTTTTACATCAAGTTTAGCCTTGAGTTTGTGATTATAAAATGTCTTTTTTATTCCATTGAAGAGTCCAAAATTAATTTTGGATTTTGCAAGTTTGCCCCAATTTCATAGATTTTGGGCATTTCCTTTTCAGTAAATTTAGAGTTACAAACACACAGAGCTCTGAAAACCATAGAAGAGAACACCATATACTAAACTTCTAATGTGGTGGTTGGAAAAATAATGTACATACGAACCCATGTTAGTTGATTTTCTGCTAATGCCAAAAGTAAAAGATCTGTTAAAGCTCTGAATCTTAATGTCCAGGAAAGGCAAAACTCCATTTTCCTCTTTTTTAATGGTAAATTTAAAGGACCTAGGGAATTGAGTTGATAAAGGAACTATGATCGTCGTTAATGGGCCACAAATATAAGATATCATCGACATATCCCAACCATACTGTTAACGGGTAAAATCAAGCAGGTATCTATCGCCTTGGTAAAAGAAATTTCCCAAAAAACTCCATATATAAATAACTAAAGCCATTCTACAGGTCTGTGTAAAATATTTTACATTGAAACAAAAGTAATTGTCTTTACTGCTCAGTTTATTTAATTCGACAATGGTATTGGTAGGTAAGAACAAATAATAGTTGGAAAGTTTACCTCACAAGAAAGTTAACATAAGCCCGTCGTCACAGCAAATCCATTACCAGGAGGAACCATAACCCTCCTTCAAACCACCTGGATGGTTCTCTAGATATTTGTGATGATCTGAAAGCATATTGCGTTTCCGGTAATAGTCTACATGTGAACTGGCAAATAAACATTTGTCGTAAATGGAGAGGTTATCCTAAAAATTATAACATTATTGTATTTTAAATCGTTTGTTTTAAATATAAGTGGTGTATGCTGAAAATATATTTTTTGAAGACTTTGGTTTTCGATAAACGGAATTCTCGGGTTTACTGAAATAGTTTTTGAATTCCATGATTCACATTGTCAGTAATACACAGTATTAATATAAACAAATGTAATTAAACCTAACCTAACTAGGGGAGCCGGTCGGCCGAGTGGACAGCATGCTGGACTTGTGATCTTGTGGTCCTGGGTTCGATCCCAGGCGCCGGCGAGAAACAATGGGCAGAGTTTCTTTCACCCTATGCCCCTGTTACCTAGCAGTAAAATAGGTACCTGGGTGCTAGTCAGCTGTCACGGGCTGCTTCCTGGGGGTGGAGGCCTGGTCGAGGACCGGGCCGCGGGGACACTAAAAAGCCCCGAAATCGTCTCAAGATAACCATGGATAGAGAGCATATCATAGCACTATGTTGTCGTTCCCAATCCGGGAACGGATTGGGAACGACAACGTGAGTGATCTCTTACTTGAGGACACGTTGAACAAATCACCCACTGGAACTTTAGTGGAAAGTGCAGTCGCATCAAAACTCACAAGATAACGTTCATAATCCATATCAAATACGATAAGTAATTTAAATTGTCATGTCGTTAATTGTAATTATCATGCAGGTAAGTAATTCGTCAACCTGTTAACTAAATCCACGTTGTTTCTTATGAGAGTTTGAAATTGCATCTACAAGGTTTATTTCTGCTTTTAATAAATCGGCGATTATTGATCTTTTAATAGCGATAAGTATATTTTGAAAGCAGTCTTTCTTGTAGACATATATGCTATTGAATATGACAGGGTGAGATCTCTGATTCTAGCTCTCAGATCTCTGAAATTTAGGAACCAGGATCACTAAATGCCTGGTACCTAAGCAGTGGTTAGGAGAAGTATACAATTTCAGATGGGCAGCGATTTGCTGCCTCTGAAATATTTTATAGTTGAACCATCTTTGTGGTGCAGAAGTAGATTTTTTGCCTCACCGCTCGTGAGGTCGAGAGTTCGAGTTGCCCGAATGCATTTGTGTTATGTGGTCAACTATTTTATCTAGTCCAGATTTAGGCCACGGAACATACAATATCAAATGATAAATATGAATAGTACACAGGATGAATTTTAAATACTTGAAAATTCCAAATGCTCTTGTTGGGGGCAAGAACCTCCGCCCGCCTGATGTAAAGCTGAGTGCTTTACAAATATACCACCACACCACAAAGTTGAGTGCTGTATCACCAGACTACAAAAGCGTGCAAAGTTCTTTATGAACTTAGGGGTTATTCATGTCCGTGCCACCTCTTGGGTGGCTTAATCTTCATCAACCAAACCTTATGAACTCATTTAACCCCATTCCCGAGTGCATTCTTGTTATGTGGTCAGTTATTTTTTGTAGCCAAGTAGTTATTTCTTGGGGAGTAGAATAACTCCCAGAACTCCATCAAGCCTAAGCCTATCAACAGTTACGTCTAGTCGTCTGCTGATATGATTGCTAGGCCTATAACTATGTGGTTCTTCCTGCAGAGTAATATTGTGAACAGATGGAACAATTCTAGATTTTACTTTGTCAATGGTCTTAGTTTAATTTTCTTGGAGTTCTCTGTTTTCGCCTTCAGGCTGCTCAAAGGCAGTCCTGGGTGGTAACAAACTCCCTGTCTCTAGTATATGTATCAGTTCCACCGTGCACTTGGAGGCAAATATGGGATGGTATATCCATAGGAGATACTTTTAGTCCATCATTGATGATTTTATTAAATCCTTGCCTAGCTTCGGACAGAATCATGTTAAAGTAATGTCCTGAGTTGAGTGCAAAATTGAATGACGGTCACGTATTTGTGTGTCATCTTTGGATACATGCGTTAGCTTAAGTGCAAAAAGTATTTGCACTTAACAAATATGACAAATATTTGTTTGATGAGTGAAGGTTCAGTTATTTACACGGGAAGTTTCCTCACTCAAGAAGAGCAGTCAACTGTTGTCACGACAACTTCACTTCAGGCAGCACTATTAATGTAGAAAACCATCAGTGTTGAAAGCTTTGGGAGAGGGAGCGCTCTGTGAGGGCATCAAGCTGTACATGATGTAATAGTTGACTTTAGAGAGATGGTGAAACCGATCACACCTGCATGTGCGATGGTGTCCTCCTGGTAGTGAGACTTAATGTTGTTCTTGTTTAAGATTCGCTTCTTGGAACAAAAAGTTCCAAGTAGCACGGGCTATGGTGAGCCCGTAGTGGACTTACTTGGCACAGGAGAGGGGCTGTAGTCCGTCGAGAGACTTAATGTTGTTGTTGTTTCAGATTTAGCTACTCAGAACGAAGTGTCCATGTAGCACGGGCTATGGTGAGCCCGGAGCCACTTAATGACTAGACAGGCGTTTATATAGACGTGTTTAGGCTGGAGTGGTGTGGCTGACCACACCCTGGGGCTGGGGGTGGTGTGACTTTAAGCTATCAAAATTAATGATCGAGTCATCCAGGAATAACAAATTAGTTTTTAGTTGGCTTGGTAACTCCCTTCTGTGTTAATTTTACCCAGCCATCAGTATTTTTGGAAATCGTTTGCCATTGTAGAAAAATAAAAAACATTGATAGTGTTAACTTTTCTTTATTTTCCCCAACAACAGTGTATTATTGACAGTTCATAGTGGTATTTCCGGGTCGTCAGTGGTATCCGCCTCCGTGGCCGTAGCCCTTGTTGAAGAAGGTGACGGCGGGGCCGTAGTGCTTAGGGTGCTGAGCCTTGCCGTAGTAGCTGACCTTGGCCACGTAGCCCCTGTAGTGGTCAGCTGTGTAGTCCACCTGGGGAAGAACAGGTAGCATTTAACATTTAATTGTTGTGGTCGTGGAATTTATAACGTTATTCATGATCTTAGGTTTTCACACTAGGCGCTGGAGTGAAGAGTGTAAAAAGTATGAGGAAGGTGGACGTACCCTTTGTTTGCGACCGTCGGGGAGGTCGACGGTGTAGGAGCCGTACACATTTTTACCGTCGGACTTCTCGTGCTGGCCGAAGTTGGTGCCCTTGTAGCCGTCATGCACGTTGTAGTCGTAGTAGTACGGCAGTGGCTCCTGGAGGGGGGGGGGGAGAAAAAACTCACAAACTTGGCCTTTTACATTCAAAGTTTTAAGATAAGCTTACAAAGAACGGTTAAAATCCATCAAAAACATACAGACTTTGACTACACAGGAATACACGTACCGAGGCGTAGACGGGTCCGCCGTAGTCACCCGGGTCCGCCATAGCCACGGCGGCCACCACCAGGACCAGACACACCTGGGGAAGATGAGTCCTTGTGAGTGAGTCACCTGTCTCTGACTGTATAGAAGTTGAGTTATTTTTCTTGTTAGTAAACACATGA